TGGGGGGGTTCAGGCGGTTTTTAGGGGGAGCTGTGGGGGGGGTTTGGGGGGATTTTGGGGGATTTGGAGGGTCTGGGGGGTCTTTGGGGCATTTTTGGGGAGCTTGGGGGGGCTCGGGGGTCCTGGGGGGCTTTTGGGGGCTCGGGGGGCTCCGAGGCGGCTCTTGGGGGGCTTTTGGGGCTCTTCAGAGGGAATTTTGGGGTCTCAGGAGGGATTTTGGGGTCTCAGGAGGGATTTTGGGGGTCCTGGGGGGACCTCAGTGGATTTTTGGGGTCTCAATGGATTTTGGGGGTCCCAGGGGGGTCTCGATGGATTGGGGGGGGCCCAGAGGGTTTTGGGGAGGGGTCTCAAAGCATTTTAAACCCTCTCAGCCCTTTCTGGATACCCTAAACCACCAAAACCTGAACCCACCCCCCAAAATCTCTTCCAGGCTCCCCCCCCGAGGTCGTTGTGGGACCCCTCCCCAATTTGGGGACCCCGCCAGCCCCCCATGGCGGCCGAGCTGGACAACCTGGACCCAGCCCCTCCCCCCAACAACAACAACGGCCCCTGGGACCCCCCGGACCCCCGAGCTTGGGGGGACCCCAAAATCTTCGAGTGCTCGCGGATCAAAGCCTTGGCTGGTGGGTGAAGACCCCTCCCCATAAAAAAAACCCCAAACCTCCCCAAAAATCCCTGGATGGCCCCAAAAATCCTCAAAAAATCCTAAAAAATCCTCCAAAAAAGCCCAAAAACTCCCGGATTGACCCCAAAAAACCTCAAAAATTCTTCAAAGACCTCCCAGACCTTTCCCCAAAGAATCCTGGATTTGAGGTGGATCTGGATGGATCTGGGGTGCATCTGGGGTGGATTTGGGGTGGATTTGAGGATTTGGGGTGACCTGGATGTCCCGCAGACGAGCGGGACGCGGTGCAGAAGAAGACCTTCACCAAGTGAAGGTGATGGCCCACCTGGAGGTTCCTGAGTTCCATGGGGATCTCAGGAGGTGGATTTGGGGTGACCTGGATGTCCCGCAGACGAGCGGGACGCGGTGCAGAAGAAGACCTTCACCAAGTGGGTGAACGCTCACCTGGCGCGCGCCGCCTGCCGCGTCGGGGACCTGTACTCGGACCTGCGCGACGGCTTCGTGCTCACGCGGCTGCTGGAGGTGCTCTCGGGGGAGACGCTGGTGAGGGGATCCACACGGCAGCTTCTTCATCATCATCATCGTCATCATCATCGTCATCATCATCGTTATTCTCATCATCATCGTTATTCTCATCATCATCGTTATTCTCATCATCATCGTCATCATCCTCATCATCGTTGTTGTCATCATCGCCATCATCGTCATCATCATCATCATCATCATCCCATCATCGTCGCCATCATCATCATCATCATAATGACTGTCGCCATCGCCATGAGCAGCATCATCATCTTCGTGACCATCTTCATCATCATCACTGCCATCTTCAGCATCGCCACCATCTTCATCATCATCGCCATCACCGTCATCACCATCTACCATCATCATCACCACGATTGTCGCCATCACCGCGAGCAGCGTCATCGTCTTTGTGACCATCATCATCATCATCATCTTCATAACCACCATCATCATCATCACCACCATCTTCATCACCACCACCATCTTCATCACCACCACCACCATCTCCACCTTCACCATCACCACCACCACGAGCAGCAGCCCCAGTCTGGACCTCCCCACCGCCCCCAGCTCCCACCGTGGGAGTTGTTCCACCAGTTCCACCAGTTTGGGACCACTTCTGGTGGGGTGGGGTGGGGTGACCCTCTCCGAGCTGGAGGTCGCCGTGTCCCCCCAGCCCAAGCCGACGCGGGGCCGGATGCGGATCCACTCCCTGGAGAACGTGGACAAGGCCCTGCAGTTCCTCAAGGAGCAGCGCGTCCACCTGGAGAACGTCGGCTCCCACGACATCGTGGATGGCAACCACCGCCTGACCCTCGGCCTCATCTGGACCATCATCCTCCGCTTCCAGGTGCCACCAGGGTCCCGTCCGTGTCCTCCCTCGTCCTCGTCACGCCACCCCCGGCTGCTCCCTGACCGTTCCTCCCCCAGATCCAGGTGATCAAGATCAAGACCGAGGACAACCGGGAGACGCGCTCGGCCAAGGACGCGCTGCTGCTCTGGTGCCAGATGAAGACGGCGGGGTGAGGACCTGAGGTGACCCCCGAGGTGACCCCCGAGGTGTCCCCTGAGGTGTCCCCTGAGGTGACCCCGAGGTGACCCCTGGTGACCTCCACAGCTACCCTGAGGTCAACATCCAGAACTTCACCACCAGCTGGAGGGACGGCCTGGCCTTCAACGCCCTCATCCACAGGCACCGGTCAGCACCAGGGGGTGGACGTGGTGGGGAGGGACCTCCTGGGCGTTGAGGTCACCTCGGACGCTTTGGGGGAGGGGTGGAGGTGACCGTGTCCACCCCACCCCAGGCCGGATCTCATCGACTTCCACAAGCTGACCAAGTCCAACGCCACCTACAACCTCCAGCAGGCCTTCAACACGGCCGAGCAGCACCTGGGGCTCAGCAAGCTGCTGGACCCCGAGGGTACGGACGGGCTCTGTCCAGCTGTCCATCTCTCCGTGTGTCCATCTGTCCGTGTGTCCATCTGTCCGTGTGTCCATCTGTCCATCTCTCCAGCCACGGAAGGTTGGGGGGCGTCTCCCCCGCCCGTTTTTCCGCCTCCACGCCCTTTTTCCCTTTCTGGGAGCGCGGGTCGAGGTTGAGGGATCAGCCCTGGCTTGGTGGGACCATCCCTGGTGGTCCTGGGGTGGGGCTTTGAGGGAGGTCCTGACCTTCTGCCCCTCCCCCCACCAGATGTCAACATGGAGGACCCCGATGAGAAGTCCATCATCACCTACGTGGTGTCCTTCTACCACTACTTCTCCAAGATGAAGGCGCTGGCGGTGGAGGGGAAGCGCATCGGGAAGGTGGGGCTGGGCCGAGTCCTGGGGTCTCCATCCCCAGCTCCGTGAGGTGTCCACCCCTTGGTCCACCCCACTGACCATGGACGTGTCCACCCTTGGTCCACCCCACTGACCATGGATGTCCCACCCCTTGGTCCATCCCTTGTCCATCCCTATGTCCATCTCTTGGTCCATCCCTTGTCCATCCCTATGTCCATCTCTTGGTCCATCCCTTGTCCATCCCTATGTCCATCTCTTGGTCCATCCCTTGTCCACCCCTCGCTCCACCCCCCTCCAAGGACATCCCACCACTCCCCACCCACCAACCACACCACAACCACCCATCCCCCCGGCCTGGCCGGACCCTGGTGACCCCTCCAGCCCCACGTGGCTCTCGGGGCGGTTCCTGCAGCATCTCCAAGCCCACCCCAAACCCCACCAGGTGCTGGACCAGGTGATGGAGATCGCGGCCATCACGGCGCGCTACGAGGCCTTGGCGGCCGAGCTGCTGGCCTGGATCCACCACACCATCACCATCATCACCAACCAGAAGTTCGCCAATTCCCTGACTGGTGTCCAGCAGCAGCTCCAGGCCTTCACCGCCTTCTGCACCCTGGAGAAACCTGTCAAGTGAGGACCTCCTGTGTGGGCTGCCGGTGGGGTGGGACCTCACCCTGCTGCTGCTGGGGATGGAGAGGTCCCACCTCATGGTGATGGTGGTGGGGAGGTCCCAGTTCTGGGGGCAGTGGGACCTGGGGGTGGCGGTGATGGTCATGGTGGTGTTGAGGAGGTCCCAGTTCAGCCCAAACTGGTGGCAGTGGGACCTGGGACGCGGCGGTGACGTCCCAGCTCACGGTGGTGGTGACAGGGACCTCCCCACCGGTGCCACCCCCCAGGTTCCAGGAGAAGGGGAACCTCGAGGTGCTGCTCTTCACCATCCAGAGCAAACTCCGGGCCACCAACCGCAAGCTCTACGTGCCCAGCGAGGGCAAGAGCATCTCCGACATCAACAAGGTGAGGACGTGGAGATGGAGTCCCACCACCCTGGGAGGACACCCCGGTGGGGTTGGGGACCCCCGTGACCGGCCCGTGTCCCCACCCACCAGGCCTGGACCTGCCTGGAGAAGGCGGAGCACGAGCGGGAGGCGGCCTTGAGGAACGAGCTGATCCGGCAGGAGAAGCTGGAGCTGCTGGCCCAGCGCTTCGACCACAAGGCCATCATGAGGGAGACGTGGCTCAACGAGAACCAGCGCCTGGTCTCGCAGGTGGGGTGGGCTGGGCGGGGTCACAGGGGACCCTCAGCTTGGGGTGGGACAATCACAGCACAGGGTTGGGTGGTGGGACCTCACTGGGGATGGTGGGAACTCATTGGGGTCTTCCTCGAGATAGGGGTGGTGGGACCTCCTTGACCAGGGGAGGGGTGGTTGGACCTCATTGAGCTTCTCTTGACCATGGAGAGGGGCTTGGACCTGGTTGGCCTCCTCCTTGACCATGGAGGGCTGCTGGAACCTCTTCCACCTTCTCCTTGACCAATGAGGACCCCACCCCACCCCACCATCTCTCTCCCCTTCAGGACAACTTTGGCTACGACCTGCCGGCGGTGGAGGCGGCCATGAAGAAGCACGAGGCCATCGAGGCCGACATCTCCTCGTACCAGGAGCGCATCCAGGTGGTGGTGGAGCTGGCCCTGGAGATGGAGTCCGAGGGCTACTACGACACGCGGCGCATCGGCGCGCAGAAGGACAACATCCTGCGCCAGTGGGCACTCCTGACCGAGCTGGTCCGCGCCCGCCGTGCCCGCCTCGAGCAGAACCTGGCGCTCCAGAAGATCTTCCAGGAGATGGTCTACATGATCGACTGGATGGAGGAGATGCAGGTAGAGACGGAAGAGATCCGGCGGCGCGGCGGAATTCCGGCGGCGCCGGATGACGCGGTTTCGTTCTTCTCCAGGTTCTTCTGGTCTCCAAGGATTTGGGGAAGCATCTGCTGGAGGTTGAGGACCTCCTGCAGAAGCACGGGCTGCTGGAGGCCGACATCTCGGCCCAGACCGAGCGCGTCCAGGCCCTCAACGCCGCCGCGCTCAAGTTCTCGGAGCTGGAGGGTAACGGGGGCCACCAGGGTGGGTGACCAGGGCCGGGGGAGGTGTTTGGTCTTGGGAAGGGTCAACCAAGGTCCTGGTGGGCCATGGAAGGGTCAACCCAAGGTCCTGGTGGGCCATGGAAGGGTCAGCCCAAGGTCCTGGTGGGCCATCTCCAAGAGTAGCCACAGAACCAACGAGGTTGGAAAAGCCCTCTGAGATCTTTGGGTCCAACCTAGGACCAGACCCCAGAGTGCCACGTCTGGTCCTTCCTTGGACACCGCCACGACCAGTGACCCCACCATGTCCTGGCCACCATCTAAGCCCCTTCTCCTGGCCCAGGCTACCAACCCTGCGACCCCCAGATCATCTGCAACCGCGTCAACCACGTCCAGACGTGCCTGGAGGAGCTGGAGGAGCTGGCGGCCAAGAGGAGGAAGGAGCTGGAGGACTCCCGCCAGCTCTGGACCTTCTTCCAGGAGATGGAGGAGGCCGAGGCCTGGATCCGCGAGAAGGAGAAGATCCTGGCCGCCAAGACCTGCGGCCGCGACCTCAGCAGCGTCATGACGTTGACCAACAAACACAAGACCATGCTGGGCGAGCTGGGCAACCGCCGGGCACTGCTGCACCAGACCATGAAGAAAGGCGAGAAGATCCTGGCCAAGAAGTCCTTCAGCTCCGTGGGCATCCAGGAGAAGATGCGAGAAGTCTGCCTGCGGTGGAAGAAGCTGGAGGAGGTCACGGGGCTCCACCAGCAGCGCTTGGAGGACGCCCTGAACTTCTTCCAGTTCAGTGCCGAGACGGACGACCTGGTGGCCTGGCTGCAGGACACGTACCGCATCGTGTCCAGCGACGACTTCGGCCACGACGACTACTCCAGCCAGGCCCTCCTGCGCAAGCACCGCGCCGTGGTGGACGAGGTGGAGAAGCACCGCGCCGCCGTCCTGTCCCTCCGCAAGCAGCTGGCTCTCCTGGCCCCCGACCACCGGCAAGGCGTGGACATCCAGATCCGCGTGGTGGAGGTGGAGCAGCTCTACGGGGAGGTGGCCGAGGTGGCCGTGCTGAGGACGCAGTGGCTGCAGGACGCCTTGGCCGTTTACCGCATGTTCAGCGAGGTCCACGCCTGCGAGGTGTGGGTGGACGAGAAGGAGCAGTGGTTGGAGAAGATGGAGGTGCCCGAAGAGCTGGATGAGGTCGAGGTGGTCCAGCACAGGTGGGTGGAGGTGGCGTGGGGCGAGGCCGGACGCTGAGGTTTCCTCATGCCGTGGTGGACCTGCCCGTGTCCATCTGCTCAGGTTCGAGAGCCTGGACCAGGAGATGAACAGTGTCATGGGGAGAATCCTGGACGTCAACCAGGTGGTGCAGCAGCTGGTGGACGGTGGCCACCCCAGCTCAGACGAGGTCCGGTCCTGCCAGGACCACCTCAACAGCCGGTACGGGCCCAGGGGTGACCCAAGGTGGACCTTGATCTTCTTGGGGTCTCCTTGGTGGGGCTGCCTGGAGACTCTCAACCTGTGGTTCTCCAGTGGTGGGATGTCCCTGTGGGGTCCAGGTGTCCAGTGGAATGGTCCAAACCCATTGTTGGGGTTCCAAGGTGGACCTTGACCATCCTGAGGTCTCCCTGGTGTGGGGAACGTCGTGTGGGGCTGCCTGGAGACCCCCAACCTGTGGTTCTCCACTGGTGGGACGTCCCCAGGTCTCCAGGCCACCATTCCCAGCCCATCCCAAGGGTTTCTGCTGGTGCTGGTGGGCCCCATCCCAGCTCAGGGGGGTCTCACTCCGCTCCTGTCCCCATCCCCAGCTGGAACCGGGTGGTGGAGCTGGTGGAGAACAAGAAGAGCCAGCTCAGCTCGGTGCTGAAGATCCAGAACTTCCTCCTGGAGTGCAGCGAGATGAAGGCGCAGGTGCGGGAGAAGAGAAAAGCCATCGAGGCCACCCAGTCCGGTGGCAGCGACCTGGGCGGGGTCCTGGCCCTGCAGCGCCGCCTGTCCACCATGGAGGCCGCCCTGGTGGTCCTGGAACCGCGGCTGGTGGAGCTCCAGCAGGAGGGCGAGGCCTTGGCCGCCGCCCACCCCGACCGCGCCCTGGAGATCCTGCTGCCCTTCGAGGAGATCAGCGAGGAGTGGGACAACCTCAAGCGAGCCCTCCAAGGTTGCGAGGACACCCTGACCATCGCCGGCCGTCTCCAGCAGTTCATCCAGGACCTGGACAACTTCTTGGGGTGGTTGGTGAAGACCCAAGCGGCCGTGGGCTCCGAGGAGGTCCCTGACAGCTTGGCCGAGGCCGAGCGGCTGCTGAACGTCCACGTGGCCCTCAAGGAGGAGATCAACGGCTACGAGGAGGACTACGCCAAGATCCAGGCGGCCAGCGAGCTGCTGGCCCTGGAGGAGATGGAGGTGCCCTACCTGTCCCTCCAGCAGTGGCTGCAGAAGCTGGACGCGGGCTGGGGGAAGCTCCTGCAGAGCTGGGAGATGAGGAGGGAGGTCCTGGTGCAGTCCCACATCTTCCACCTCTTCCTGCGCGACGTCCAGCAGTGCCAGAACAGCCTCTACAACCAGGTCTGGGAGGAGGCGGCAGCCACGGGTGGGAGAAGGTCCTGGTTGGTGGATTTGGGTGGTGGAAGGTCCTGGTTGGTGGATTTGGGTGGTGGAAGGTCCTGGTTGGTGGATTTGGGTGGGAAAAGGTCCTCACTGGTGGATTTGGGTGGTGGAAGGTCCTGGTTGGTGGATTTGGGTGGGAAAAGGTCCTCACTGGTGGATTTGGGCGGGAGCAGCTCCTGGTGGAGCTCCTTTGGAATTGAGGTGACCACCCCAAGGCCAGACCAGGGGTCACCACCCCCACCAACCCCTCCCAGGAGACCACCCTGGCCCACGCCGAGCTGCCGGACACGGTGGAAGGGGTGACCAAGGCGCTGAAGAAGCACAAGGACTTCACCACCACGCTGGAGCTGAACCTGCAGAAGGTCCAGCTGGTCCTGCAGGCCGGCGAGAGCCTCCGGCGCCAGCGCAACCTCCACAGCGACCGCGTGGCTGAGGCCATGGAGGGGCTCCGGGCCAAGTAGGTGCCCACCCTGGAGACCCCCGGCCCACCAGAAGCACCCAGGAGCCACCAGCGGCTCTCAGGACCCCCAAACACCCACACAGGACCCCGAAATTCCATGTAGGGCCTAAAAAATCCATGTAGGACCCAAAAATTCCATGTAGAACCCAAAAATTCCACCCAGGACCCCAAAAATCCACCCGGAGCCCTCCATCCTGGACCTCCCTGACCACCCAGGAGCCACCAGAAGCTCTCAGGACCCCAAAACTCCACCCAGGACCCCCCCACATCACTCAGGACCCCCCAGGAACCGGGATGAGGCTGGATCTGATGGTGGATCCCAGATGGAAGCTCATGACTCAGTTTCCCCTTTGAGGGGAAGCTCAGGGGTTAATGAAGGGTTAATCAGGAGTTATCAAGGGTTAATTGAGGGTTAATGAAGGGTTAATTGGGGGTTAATTAGGGGGTCCCCCCCACCCCCCCGCAGGAGCCAACGCAACCATCAGCTGGCCCAGGAGTGGACGCGGCGGCTCCAGGACCACCTCGAGCTCCAGAGGTTCCTCCAGGACTGCCGCGAGGTCAGGCCCGGCCTCCTGGGACCCCCAAACCCCCGCCCGGAGCCCCCCAAAGTCCGAGACCCCCCCCAAATTCTGCCTGGTGGGGGTGGGCTCCAGGTTCTCCTGCAGGTGTGGGGTGGGCAGACCCCCCTGGGGTCACCTCCACATTCATGGTGGGCTCCGTGTCAGGTCGCTGGTGAGATTTGGGGTGGGGGACCCCAAAAATCTCCCCCAGAGTTGGGCCAGGGGGTCCCTCCAGCCCCACAGAGGCACCTCCAGCCCCAGAAGATCCTCAACATCTCGGGGGGCTTCGCCGGTGGCCGGGGTTGGACCTCCTGTGGTCCCTCCTCAGCAGCCCCAGGGTGGGCGAGACCCCAGCTCGGCCCCCCACGGATTTGGGGTCAGGTTTGGGGGTCCCTCGGGGGTCCCGGCAGCCCCCAGAGGCTCCTCAGCATCTCGGGGGTCCCAGCGCTGCCGGGGGTGGGACCCGTCCGCTCCAGCCCAAGAGATCGCTCGGCCCCAAAGTCCCCCCACGGATTTGGGGTCGGGTCTGGGGGTCCCCAACGGCCCCCGCGCTGTCCCCGGCCCCTCCGGGGGGTCCCCGGGGTTTTGGGGTGAATTCGGGAGGTTTGGGGTGAATTTGGCAGATTTTGTGGTGGATTCGGGAGGTTTTGTGGTGAATTCTGGAGGTTTTGGGGTGAATTCGGGAGGTTTTGAGATGAATTTGGGAAGTTTTGGGGTGAATTCGGGAGGTTTGGGGTGAATTCGGGAGGTTTTGGGGTGAATTCGGGAGGTTTGGGGTGAATTCGGGAGGTTTTGGGGTGAATTTAGCAGATTTTGGGGTGGATTTGGCAGATTTTGGGGTGAGTTCGGGAGGTTTTGAGATGAATTTGGGAAGTTTTGGGGTGAATTCGGGAGGTTTTGGGGTGAATTCGGGAGGTTTTGGGGTGAATTCGGGAGGTTTGGGGTGAATTCGGGAGGTTTTGGGGTGAATTTAGCAGATTTTGGGGTGGATTTGGCAGATTTTGGGGTGAGTTCGGGAGGTTTTGGAGCTTCCCCCGCTGCGGGGATTTTTGGCCGGATCCCGCCCGAGGCTCCTCGGGCTCATCCGGCGCTCGCGCTCCGCCCGGGATCTGCTGCATCACGGCCGAGCCCGCACCGGCCTCACCTTCCTCATCCTCCTCCTCCTCCTCCTCCCGCAGCCTCCGGAGCCTTCCTCTCCCTCCTCTCCATCATCCTCATCCTCCTTCTCCTTCATCCCTTCCTCCTCCATCCTCATCATCCTCCTCCTCCATCTTCATCCCCCTCCGTCATCTTCATCCCCCCCTTCCATCCTCCAACCTCATCCTCACCCCCGACCCCAAATCCGCCTTTTTTGGGGGAAAAAGCGGGGGGGGGAGGGGAGGGGGCTCCTCTCGTCCTTTCCCCTCCGCTTTTTTTATTTTTATTTTTTGGGGGGAATATTTTTGGGTGAAAAGGTTCCATTTTTGGGAAAA